AAGATTACTATTTTTTGTAAGCCACCTTTTCTCATGACTTATGATCAATTATGAGCTTAGAAAAATCTGGTCAAGATTCAGGTACAACCTTGGTCATAAAAAAAAAAAACAACTGAACTAAACAGACCTTGTGGGAATTGGTCCTGAATTCCCAGTCTCATTTACTCACCTAAGCAAACAAAAACCTACAAGAAATCATCAAATTTCTTCAAAATGTGACTCATATTTAGTGTGTACTAATATGTCAATATTTGAACCATGTCCCTGACCTGTAGCTGACAATAAAACTTAAGAGTAAACTAAAATGTTATTTTGCTAATTATTTGATTATTTAAGGAGAGATAATTCAAGTCGTGTGTGTGTGTGTGTGTGTGTGTGTGTGTGTGTGTGTGTGTAAAATAAGTCAGGTTTTCTTACTTTTAAAGACACAAAACTCATAGCCAAAATTTGATAGGGATGCTAAAAATATGTGTTTACTGAAAGTGTCAAGTCCAAATCAAAACAATATTAATCATGATAAAGTGAAGGAGTTTCAATTTGAAAAGGCGTATTTCGAATAGAAAAACATATTGAAATTTTCCAGAATTTGTTAAATTGACTTTCATCCAAATAATTGCCCTTTAACTGAAGGTGTTATGTAACTTGGGAGGGGACCCAGTTTTATTCCATTTAGACTATCATTTTGACCATTTATTCCCTCTTTCCATTCTGCCACAGATTCCTTTCTGTTGCTTTCTCTCCCTAAAGCTCATTTTCCTCTTCTATATTTTGTAACCTCTCATTTATAAACTGACCAACCCCACTTTCCTGGAGAATTCATTTGTCTTTTCCCCCCTCTCAAGACTTGGGAGTTATTTTTCCTTAAAAAACTTTTAGTTTTTTTTATCATTATAGTTCAAACCACATGATTACAATAGTGTTAAAATGATGATACTGCTATACCCACCACCATCAAAGAACCAAACTTCTCCACCATTGTCCCTGTATCTGCTAGGAAAACTCCTAGGTTTTCGGTTTTCACGGATATGCTCTTTCTGGTGACAAATACAATAGTCCATTTTACGCTGATAAATAATATTTCAGCAGCTAGGCTTCTCTTATCATTTATAAAGACTGGTTTTCTTAATTAAAAACATTAACTTTATATTTATGATGAATATTTTTCTTTTACCCTTCGTCAGGCTGGTAACAATTCTGATTTCTACCATTAGTTATGAACTGGGGTCTAAAAACTGTGATCCATAATTATTCAACCATTGTTCAACCAACTTTGCAATCCATAATTGTTCAACCCTTCCCTATCCCCTACAGATTCTGATCAGTAAAAATGAAATGACTCAAGTATCTAATTCCACTTCTATACTGAGAGTTTCTCCCATTTAGAATCAAGAAACAGAAAAATCAGTTTGAAGAACAGGATTTGGGGTCATTTTTGGGGAAGGATCCTACTTTCCCACTATAGCAGAAATTGACTACTTTCATCTCTCTGGAACTTTCTTTTCCTAAATGCAGCTGCTAAAAAATGATATGGGATGATTCACTTCTTAATTTATTCATTAAAAAACATAGATATAAAATATCAAAAGGGCTTGGATTTTGGGGGTTTGTTGTTGTTTTTGGTTTGGGGGCCACATCCTACAGTGCTGAGGGCTTACTCCTGACTCAATTCAGGGATCAATCCTGGAGGGCTGAAGGGACCATATGGGGTACTGGGGATTGAACCCAGATCAGGTCCACACCAGACAAGCACCCTACCAGCTATACCATTTTTCTGACCTAAAATATTAGAAATATTTTTATAATGTGGCAAATCATCTGCATCTTTAGTTCTGCACCTTCTTCAATTCTTATACATTATTACATTGGACAAATAAGATCATTCACATTAGCTCTCACTTCCTATTAGAGGGTTAGTGAACTAGCTAAATTTTATAACAGTATTAGTGAACTAACTAACACTCATAACAGTATTTTACATTATAAACATACTCAATAAAGACCATTTACCACTTTTAAGTTTAGTCATATACTCAGAACCTAAACAATATGATTTCAGCCTATGGACTTTCCCAGTGGAATGCTTGGTTAATTTTTTTTGTAAGTAAATATTTCCTTGAGAATTATCATCACTTTTTCCAACCCAATCAGGTCAAAGTGTAGGGTCCTTTTCTACCACAAAAAAGCAGATGCATTGACAAGCAACAATGACAAGTCTTCTCAGGAAGACTCATTTCTCCAGTGCCTTAAAGCCTGTCATCCAGAAGCTGAGACACAGTTCAACCCTAGAAGGCACCCTGAATCTCACAGTAACTTTTGAACCAACAAGATTAAAAGAACGTGCCTCACAATTGAGTATTAGCAAAGTAAAATAGGAATCAGAAAACAGATAGAGGTCTAAGCTTGATGTTGGAAAATCAATAATGCTGCCAATATACAAGGTGACCTGGAGATCAAACATGGTCATGCCAACTAGAAATCCATCCACTGGAGAGATGCCCACAAAAGTGTTCAAGTAAAATCAGAGGACAAATATTATGCCTGTTCCAAGGACACAACATTTCCATGTCAAGTTTGGGTAGCCCACTTTATGTCATTTCAGCTCAATTAGGTTTCAGATGGCAATTACCTTCAGTTCACTATCCCCCACCTTACTACACTAACGCCTGTAGTGCTACCAGACCTGGAGCTCACTTCCTTCCCCGAGAAGCTCTAACCTATCTCTACTGAAGAAGATTCAGGGAAATATTGTGGCTGAAGTGGGAATTTGGGTGCCTGCCCTTGAACCCACACATACAAAGCCATTGTGCTTACAAGTGAGCAGGGGATCGATGGCTGCCTGACTTCATTTCAATGGAGTCATGCTGTATCCCTTTTGCTTAACTTCCTAAATGCCCACGTTTTCCCACATTTCTGAGTACATAGCGATATACTCAAAACCTAAACAATATGATTTCAGTCTATGGACTTGCCCAAAGGAAAGTCTAGTTAATTTTTTTCTAAGTAAATATTTCCTTGAAAATTATCATCACTTTTTCCCAACCCAATCAGGTGAAAGAGTGGGGTGTTTTACCTTTGCAAGAGAAAAACAGGTGCTATTTCTCCAGTTAGTTGAGAACGGTATATCAATTATCTAAGAAATGTCTAGTACTTGCTGTGGAAGTGCTTACTTAGTAATATGTACATAGTTTGTAATGTATAGAAATTAAACACTTCAGAATGTGAGATAAACCTATATGCACATTTACATGGATTTTATTAAAAGATGAAAATATGGTATTAAATATAATTTTCAGGAAAGGAAATGCTGAAAGCACTTCCAAGTATGTGTTGCAACCCACCTTTTACCTTTTTCATAATAACAGTTAAAGCCTTCTTTGTAACTCTGTTTGTTTACTCATGTCTCACTAATTATCTCTGCCACCAACAGTAATCCTTTCCTTCAGTTCAAAGTCTGGTCATGGATGTCTACAAGTGATTCTGTACAACCATTCCTTTGACTCATAGTCCACCAGCATCTACTCAATCATCGTCTCCCTCTGAGTTGGCAAACCTGGAAGACATCTGTTGGATGTCAGTGTGTGACTCTGACCATCCGTTCTGAAGGCTTTCCTGACCTGACTGACGTGCATTCCTGCTCACAAATATGGAACCTCTGGAACACTGTGTTCCTTCTCAAGCCTCTCCTTGAAAACACTAACATAATTCTTAAACCTAGTATTTTCAAATCATACAACACATATTTACATACATAAAACCACATGCAGTCTTGGAATTTATTAAACTCAGATTGAGACACTTCGTTCAGTACAGACATTCATACTCATGGTCATTTTTATAGTGATCCCAGCAGTAGGTTTGGCTCTTAAATAAGCAGTTTAATATAATGCTGTCTGTATTTCTGGACAAACAGAAGACAAAGGTGAGATGGACTTTTAAGAAAACAGGTAAAGATGACTGGACTTTTCTTCTACTCATATATTTGATATCATGAATTTTCATAATCTAACTTATTCGGCTTTTTATATTAAAAAAAACCCAAGGTTCAATAGAAAGCTTCAGATTTATCCTTGAGAGTACCGTGCTCCACTGCCATAGAAAAATTGATTATTTCCAAGAACATTCTCATACTTCTTCACTTAAATCACAAACAACTTATAAACATTAACTGTGAATCCAAGATCATGAAAAATAGCCCCTAGACATAGAAACTGAAAATTGAATTTCCTCTTCCACAGTTGCTGTTTAATTTGCATAGATCACCTGAAATGCGATGTCAAAAGGAAAGTATGGATCAGAAATACTTGCTTTATCCTTGGTGCTGCCCTTACCACCTATTAGTCCATTTCCTGGAAATGCAATAGCTAAGAATGCTGATAAACTTTATTTTCTGGGCTAGAGAGACAGTAGAGGAGGTAGGGCACTTGCCTGCCTATGGCTGATCCCTGTTAGAATCTCTGGCATTGCATATGGTCCCCCAGACACCTCCAAGGTTTATTCCTGAGGTAGAAGGCTAAGCTAAGCACTATGAGATATGCCCAATGCCAAATTAAAAAAAAAAATAATTAAGCTACTAGATTCCTGACTCACCCCTCCTTGAGCACAACCAAGAAGGATACTAGACATGATGATTTAATTAAAATTCTTTTCATTTTTTAAATAAATAAATGTAGAAAGAAAGAAAGAAAGAAAGAAAAAAAGAAAGAAAGAAAGAAAGAAAGAAAGAAAGAAAGAAAGAAAGAAGTGTAATACAACTGGAATTCAGGAGCAGTTTTGAATTTTTCCCTAGAATCCCTAGGTCCCCAAAAGTTGAAAATGTCACACTTTTAATTCCTTCCTCCACCATAACCTAGGACAGCAATCGCTAGAAATGAGTTTTAAAGTTACAGAGTTACAGACACAGGCCCAACCTGACAAAGCGCTTCTACCACAAAATGCTGTTTCAGAAGAGAGAGAGATAGATAGAGAAATTTGCACTGAAAGCTAAAAAGCAATTCACTTACCATGATAAATTCGTCACAGACATTGCCGCAGTTTCTGGAGGAGTCTGATGGAGAGTCTGTACGTAGTTTCAAAATGATGAGAAGATCACGTGGCCCATACAGCTGGGGAATGATGCACAAGCCACTTAGTCACAATTTGAGTCAACCTATAAAGAATAAGAACATAATGTAAGGATCAATAATGCTAAAACCTGGAAACAACCTTAGCATCCATTAACAGACAAATGGATAAAGATGTAAACATACCCAGTGGAATACTAAACTACTCATACTTTCTCAACAAGAAAGAATGTAAATCTGCCATCTTAACAACACTGATGGTTCTGTAAAGAATTGTGCTCAGCGAAATAATCCAGATGGAGAAAGACACAGTATGATTTCACTAGCACTTGCTATGAAGGGAAAACAATTGAACTGATTAAAACAAAAATGAACTTGTGGACAGGAAGATCAATCATTGGTTACCAAAAGGGGGAAATAGAGTTATAGGCAGGGACTGGAAAGATAACACAGAGGGTAGGGAGCTTCCACGACTGGCCCAGGTTTGATCCCTGGCACCACACATGGTCATCCCTGAGTAGAGCCAAGAGTAAGCCCTGAGCACTGCTGGCTATGACCCAAGAAAACCTCTATTCCTTCCCCCTTTAAAGGAGTCACGTGTGTAGTAAAAGCCATCGATTATCTGGTAAAGAATAGAATTAAACTTTCAGTGGTAAATTTGGTGCAATATGTATGAATGCTGACTTTAAATTGCATACACCTAATATATAAATAACGTTATAATTCACTATAACATCAATAAAAATGTAAACTTGAGATGAAAAAACAATTTTAGTCAGTGCTTCCTAATTCAAATCACTAGTTCTGTTACCCCTCTCACCTTTCCCACCCCACAGAAAATAAAGTATGAACATTGTCTGATGCAACTTATTCTTTTACATTTTTTAAATATTCTTTTTACAGTGACTTGTATCTAGTGTCATTATTCTAATGTGTACTCAAAATAGTTTTACTGAATTAACTTTGCAATGTTTCCCCAGGGACTTGCATTGAGGGACATAATTAAAGAAAATAAACAAACAACACAAAGGACTATGAAATCTAATATTAGATTCAGTGCATACTTAACCAACATAAAGATGTGGCTCATGTGAAAACTCAAAGGAAAAAAATGCCAACTTTCAATACCAGGAAAATGATTAACCTAAATTTCCAGTTTGTTTTTACCCCATAGGAGGCATTATTGAAGGTTATTATATTTTTTCCTTACTTTAAACTTATGGGCAATTGAAATTAATTTTAGACTTTTCTTTAAGAACTTGCCAAATTTTGACTCTTACCTTCTATGCTAGCTCTTTCTTCATTTTTTGCCAACTTAATTTCAACCTATCAATTTTTATAAACACTCACACCTATACAAATAATCATATTCATATCCTCTTTATACGTAAATATAAAATCCTCCTGAGATCCGTCTTACAATGAAAAAAGGTATGATTCAAGATCGCAACTGAAGAACTTTTTGTTCTGTAGAATACAGCAACAACATGTAGAAATAGTTCCCTCAGCCTCAGTCAACTCTAGACGGCTTCCTCAGACTCTAGCCCCTGACACTGAGCATTTTCTGAGGGCATTCACCTTAGAACACATAAACTGTAAGTTCATTTTCTGCCCCTCTGAAAGACAAATCTGCCAATTTTTTTTGCCGTTTTCATAACCTAGAACTGTCTTTCTCAAGGACCTGGGAGACACCCTTGGGAACGCAAGTATCAGAGGAGAGAATACCCTTCTTCGTCTCTCGGAGGGGAGGGTCTAACTCCAAGCATCAACTGGGAAACAGCCTGACCACACTCACCAAATCACCCTCTAACATCCTTCACTACTTTTTAAAATCTTCCTTGATATTCTGCAAGGGGATAGGGGGATTTGGGGTCACATGCTAAGATACTCGGTGGCGATTCCTGGATTTGTGCTCGGGAGCGACCCTTAAAGGGCCTCAGAATCCCATACGTGGTGAAAAGGATTTAAACCAGAGTAGCTGGGATGCAAAGCGAGCACCTACCTTACTTAACCTCTCTACTAAATCTCCGACCTTTTCTTGACTTTTGAACTCTGGCACAAACTTTCCTTGAAAAGGCATTATTTTTAGTCCTTAAAACTTTAGCACAAGGGGCCAGAGCGATAGTTAAGTGGATAAGGTATTTGCCTTGCATGTTACCAACATGGGTTCGATTCCCCAAAACCCTACGTGGTCAGAGAGCCCTTCTCGGTATGATTTAAGTGCAGAGCCAAGTACGGCTGGGTGTGGCCAAATAAATAAAGAAAGAAAGAAATAAAAAGTTTAGATAAACTTCCAAAGATGCTAGCAACAGTGCAAGAAAGCACAATCTTCCCTCCGATGTTCGTTCAATCCCCAGCACCCCAATCATATGCAGTGCAAAAGGACACCCCAGGGTTCACCACATGCAAGGCAAGAGCCTACCCATTGTACTACCTCCAAGGCCCCCTTTCCTTCAATGTTTTTAACTGGCAATAACTACTAATTTGGACTTTAATAAGCTTCATTATATGTAGATTTATAAATAAATATTTCATCTTTTCTGACTCTAAATGCTTATAAGAAATATTTGAAAATAATATTTCATTGTCAGCATTTACAGCAACTATGAAATTACTCTGATATTTATTTGGGTACCATATCTTTTATTGCATCTTATAACTGATATTATGCATCAATTTTATTTGCATTTTAAAACTAAACCAAGGATATGTACCCACTGGGCAGTCATTAAGCTTACTGAGTTGAACACTACATAAAGTTCTTTTGATAATATGAAGTTTGCCAAAATTTTTTTTACTGACATTTAAATGATTCATTGCTTATCAATGCAATCTTGCCTCAGAAATGTCTTCAGGGTGTTCAAATGAATTTAAATTCTTTCTTTTTTGGATGATTCATAATCCTTATACAAATTCCCAACATTAGTCTCCATATTTGAGTATGAATTTGTAGCTTCCAGCCAAAGCTCGAACATTATTAAGAGCCACCATCTGCCCTTCTTCGTGAGTGAGTGTGTGTCTTACTGTGAGAATATATCTTCATGTTAGGGACAACTTTTCAGACTCTATGGACTTATTTGACTCTCCCTGACTGTCCAGTGAAAACCATAATGTAAATTCTAAGCATAAACACAACTATTTGAATCGCCATTTTCATCACAATGTTAAGGAAGATAATAGAAGGATATAATACAATATTCTTCATCCAACACATCTGTTAAAATGTGACTAGTCACTGGACAGACAAAATTGATTAATGGGATTATACTTTGCAAAAATAATTATTTATATCATTTTAATTGTAAATGAAATTCTAGGATTACAAACTAGATAAATGTAATACTACAGTCTAATATATTTATTTTGCCACTTAATTATACTGTCACTGTCCTCCCATTGTTCATCGATTTCCTGGAGCGGGCCCAGTAACATCTCCATTGGAGACTTTGTTGTTACTGTGTTTGGCATATCGAATACATCATGGGTAGATTGCCAGGCTCTGCCGTTCTGGCGAGATACTCTCGGTAGCTTGCCGGGCTCTCCGAGAGGGGCAGAGGAATCGAACTCGGGTCAGTCATATTGGCCGCGTGCAAGGCAAACGCACTACCGCTGTGCTATCGCTCCAGCCCTATACGTTTCCTTCCATAGTGTTAATTATACTATACATAAAATATTATCACCAGCATTTTTATTTGACTTTATACCATCTAATTGCTTAACTATCATCTATATGTCTATTTGGGCGTGAAAAGCAATAGCATATTATACAAACTTTCTTCTGTACCTTGATTTTTTACAGTATTTATAAACATATCTCTTCTACATACAATACTTCTCTACCAATTTATATACTAAGATAGGTACTACCTCTAAGTATTATAAAGCATTGAGCTGAATGAACCTGCCCATTTAATGTTGAAGAAAGTCTTAGCTTGCATTTGATGCATTGCAATTACAAGCTATAAAATATACCCTTGTTTATATGGTACAGTGTAGTATATACTTCTGTATACTTAAATATAGCGTTTAGATCAAATATATTCAGATTTTAAAATTCTGATACAGGAGCAAGATGGAGCAAGAGTACAGTGGGTAGGGCATTTGCCTTGCATGCGGCTGACCCGTGTTCGATTCCCAGCATCCCATATGGCCCCCTGAGAACCGCCAGGAGTAATTCCTGAGTACATGAGCCAGGAGTAGCCCCTGTGCATCGCCAGGTGTGACCCAAAAACAAAAAAAAAATCTGATACAGGTAAATTACCTTTCAGAAAAGTTACATCAATTTAACATTACTCCCAGCAATGTATAATAATTCTGAAATTGCTCCTTTTTTTGAGTACCAATACACTCTGGGATTTATAAACACAGTTAGAGAAAAATACTCATTTATTGTCCAAGCAAAAAAAATATTCTTCTGTTCAACCATTATATCTGGAGCTCTAGCTCTCAACTGTGTTTGGAATATGTTCACGTTTCTCCTGTTGATTGCCACACCTCTGACCCATCTTCTGGTCCGTGGATAATAACAATGACCTCCTAAGTAGGATACCTCTCTGGGTTAGCTTTCATCCTAAACTATCTTTGGCAGCATATTGATGTTTGAGTGGTCTTTGCAGAACATTGTCACTTTCTACATAATAGTTACAGAATAGAGGCATGGGCATGATGTAGACAAACTTGGGTATGATTTCCAGCTGTGACGGTGAACAACATTTTGATCTTGGGAAAACTGAACACATCCCTTCTCTTTTTTCCCTCCTTTAAAAAAAATGGGACTGGTATTAATACTTATAATAACACAGTGAAAAATTAACATACAAAAGGACTTAATATTACCCGGAACATAATTAAGAGTTCAAGAAACAGTAATGACAATGAAGGGAAGAGAAAGAATGAGGAGGAAAAGGAGATACTGATACAGAAATTTCTGCCCCTAAATTCCTTAATTGTTCCACTTTACCCTTCAACTACATGTCCTTCAAGTAGAATCTTGAGATAGTTTTGAAGAACACAGGTAGTCTGCTTGCCTTTCTGCACTCCTCTCTCACTGAGCCTTTCCCCATCATCCTCACCCACCCTCCCCCAT